ACCTGAACAAGACTAGCAGCAATGAGGTAAGTCAGGAGGCTGCACAGACAGGAGACAGGTAATGACGGCACACAAGATGGTAAGGTAAGAGAGAATGGAAAGGGGGGCTTCCCACAATGGCTTACACCTGTAATCCCAGCGAAATGGATCACTAGAGCCCAAAAGTTTGAGACCAGCCTGGGTAACATAGGGAGATCCCATCTCTACAAAAAATTTCATTAATAAAAATCAGCCAGGTATACTGGCCCACACCTACAGTTCCAGCTACTCGGGAGGCTGAGGTGGGAAGATTGCCTGAACCCAGGTAGAAGAGGCAGTGAGAGACAGTGTGGAGACAGGATAAAGAACCGATAGGAAGCCCAGACAGACTCTCCAGGGGATGAAATTATAACCGATGATATGCAGAATTAAACTGAGGAGATGACAAGGATGTCAGAACAAGAGAGAAAAGAGTATAATAATAGCTGGCAGGGCATGGTGGCTCACACCTGTAATCCCAGCACTTGGGAGGCTGAGGTGGGCAGAGGGTGTGAGCCCAGGAGTTTGATACCAGCCTGGGCAACATGGCAAAACATGCCTCTACTAAAAAATACAAACACACACACACACACACACACACACACACACACACACACACACAAGCAAAAAAAAAAAAAAAAAAAAAAAATTAGCCAGGCAGTTTTGTTGTTGTTTTTTTTTAGAGGCAGGATCTCACTTTGTCACCCAGGCTGGAATGCAGTGGTGAGATCATAGCTCGCTCTAACCTCAAACTTCTGGGATCAAGTGATTCACCTGCCTCAGCCTTCCAAGTAGTGGGAGTACAGGTGTGTGCCACCATGCCTGGCTAATTTGTTTTTTGTAGAGACAGGGTCTCAATATGTTATTTAGGCATATCATTATTTTAAATTCTTCTCTAAAAATTCTATGCTTCTCCCAAAGCCCTGGGATTGCATGTGTGAACCACCACACCTGGCTCAGAGTTGTCCTTGTCTGTTTCTACTAGAGGGTATACCATAGAGGTCACAATCATTGGTTCATGCCACCATGCCCAGTTAAGTTTTGTATTTTTTTGTATAGGCAGAGTTTCACCGTATATATATAACACATAGGTTAAAATGTTTTACATAAAAAGTAATCAGTAAAACTTCATGATTTAGAAACAAATTAGTTTCTTTTTTAGTGTCAAAGTTCCAGCTACTCAGGGGACTAAGGTGGGAGAATTGCTTGAACTCGGGATGAGCAGAGATCATGCCACTGCACTCCAGCCTGGGTGCTGGAGTGCAAGACTGTTTCAGTAAATAGACAGACAGATAGAGAGTAGCGAATGCTTACCGAGTGCATACTATGTACCCGATACTATTCTACTGACCTAATATGGACTAACTCATTAATCTTAAAAACTCCCTTAATGAACTAGGTACTATTATCACCCAACTTTAGAGAGGAGGAAATTGAGCCACGATATTAAATAATTTGCCAAGATCACATAGCAAGTAAATGGCAGAAGTCTCTACCACATACTGCTAACTATTTGACATTGGCAAGAAACATCTGAGCTTTAGTATCCCTATTTGTAAAATAAGAATAAAGATGTGTTATAAAGTGATGAGGATTAATTCAATAACACCTATAAGGTGTCCAACACACTGGCTAGCATGTAAGGCACAGGTGGGTGCTTCCTGCAGACTAATTCCTATTTGGCATTTTGGTCCCTTGTCACCAAGGTGTCCAAGCAGAATTTGGCTCACCAATTGTTTGGGAAGCTAGAGAGGTATTCCACCTGGAGCAGGAGACTGGATCCTCTGTCTGTCTGCCTTCTTCCCATCAGTCTGCCTCTCTAGATTTGACTTTAGGGTCTAGCTCAAATATTTAATGTATTTAATTTAATATTCCCAACTCCTCAAATATTTAATAGTTAACAAGGGTTATCTTGTGGGGAGAGTTAGAGTGTGGGGAACGTTCACTTGGGGACTTTCTATGCTGTATGTTTGCATTTATTTTTAATAATCCTGTATTACACTGGTGATCAGAAAAATGTATCTACATCCTACTCTTAGCACTTATGTGTATTTGTATGAAAGTCTTGTCTTCATATCTAGAATGGAAATTCCTCAAGGGCATAACCAGTTCCACCTCTCTCTCTCTCTCTGTGATCCCCCATAGCACCTAGCACACTACGGCTCCTTAAATCTGCTTCTTGAAACTACTCTGGATGTGAGGTTTACAAATTCAACTTTCTGGCCACCAGAAAATGACTGTGGTGGGGTGGGTGGTTGGGATGAGGTGGGAGTGGGGGTCAGACCAAGGCCGTTGGCTGTAGACTCCATCACCCTGCTGCTTCTTTCAGGCCCTGTAGCCTATTCTAGCCACAGTATCATATGTAGTTTACAGTTAGCAATCACTATTAGCAGAAAGAAAAGTTCTTATCCAAAGGAGCACCATGAAAGCAAAGGCAAAGCAAATTATCAAAACTTTTACAGAAAAGCAAAGTGGCAAACCTAATTGTTTGTTTGTTTCTTGAGACAGAGTCTCACTCTGTCACCCAGGCTTGAGTGCAAGTGACATGATCATGGCTCACTGCAGTCTTGGCCTCCTGGGCTCAAACAATCCTCCTGCCTCAGCCTTCCAAGTGGCTGGGACTACAGGTGTGTGCCACCATGCCTAAGTTTTGTTAAGTTTTGTATTTTTTTGTATAGGCAGAGTTTCACCCTGTTACCCAGGCTGGTCTCAAACTCCTGGGCTCAAGTAATCTGCCTGCTTCAGCCTCCCAAAGTGCTAAAATTACAAGTATGAGCCACCACAGGCCTGGTCAAACATAATTTAAAGATTGGCATTATCAACACTCCCGAGTTGTATGAGGTGAAAATAGGAGGCAGGCCTGCTAAAAATGCCCTGGCCACATATGACAGTTGGTCAGCCCTGAAGTTTCCTAGCCCAGATAGAATTGATACCGTCTCAAAAGCGTACAAGCTGTCTCCCCAGCCTGGCCCCTTGCTCTAAACTCAAGGCAACAGCTTCCAGCTGTGCAGCCTCGGAGGGGCTGAACCCTCCCCTGGAACCTCTCTGCAAGGCTGCCAAGTTTCTGGGCCAGTTCTTCAGTACAGCCCAAGGAGCCTGGCCAGTTTTTCCAGCCCTTCCCTCCTCTTCCTCCCTCCTTTGGTGGCAGCAGAATTTCCACAGCCCCTCTCACAGCCTAGACAGGTAGCAGGTGGCCACATGGATCCTGCCTGATTCTGCAAGCCCCCAATTACTGTCCCCAGAAGTGTGGGAAAGGAATGATAAAACCATTCTAGAAAGAGAGGAAAGGAAAGGGATGGGGAGGGAGGGAGAGGGAGAGGGAGAGAGAGGGAGGGAGAGAGAGAGAGAGAGAGAGAGAGAGAGATGGGGAGGAAGGGAAAGGGAGGGGAGGGGAGGAGAGGGGGGAGGGGAGGGAAAGGGAAGGGAAGGGGGAGAGGGGAGGGGAGGGAGGAGGGGGAGGGAAGGGGGGAGGGGAGGGGGAGAGGGGAGGAGAAGGAAAAAGGGGAGGGGGAGGGGAGACGGGAGGGAGGATGGGAAGGGGAAGGAGGAGGCAGAGGGGAGGGAGAGAGGGGAGGGGGAGAGGGGAAGGGGGGAAGCAGGAGGGGAAGGGGAGGGAGAGAGGGGAGGGGGAGAGGGAAAGGGAAAAGAGGAGGGGAGGGGGAGAAGGAGGAGGGGGAGGGGAGGGAGAGAGGGGAGGGGAGAGGGGGAAGGGAGGGAGAGATGGGAGGTGAGGAGGGGGAGGGGAGGGGAAGGAGGAGGGGGAGGGGGAGACAGGGAGGGAAGGGGAGAGGGAACGGAGGAAGAAGGAAGGAAGGAAATTACCTTAAATGCAGTAGAGAGGGCTGGGTGCAGTGACTCATGCCTTAATCCCAGAACTTTGGGAGGTAGAAGCGGGCAGATTGCTTGAGCTCAAGAGTTCAAGACAGGCCTGTTCAACATGGCAAAATCCCATCTCTACTAAAAATACAAAACTTAGCTTGTGGTGACACATGCCTGTAATCTCAGCTACTTGGGAGGCTGAGGCAAGAGAATCGCTTGAACCTAGGAGGCCGTGGTTGCAGTGAGCTGAGACTACGCCATTGCACTCTAGTCTGGGTGACAGAGCCGGACTCTGTCTCAAAAAAGAAAAAAATTTTTTTAATTAAAATAAATAAATAAATTTCAGTAGAATTCAGATAGAGGTTAGAAGGGGGTGGTTAGAAGGAGCACAAAGATTGTTTCAAACGGTCAAGTGATCCTCCTGCCTGCCTCTCTAGTAGCTGGGACTACATGCACATGCCATTGCACCAGGATTTATATTGTCATTTTTGAAAATTTAAACAAAAAAAGACTGAAGCTGGGTGTGGTGGTTCATGCCTGTAATCTCAACACTTTGGGAGGATCATTTGAGCTCAGAAATGCAAACTCCTCAGAAGATCAAGGCCAGCCTGGGTAACATAGCAAGACTCCCATCTCTACAAAAAATAAAAGAATTAGACAGGCATGGTGGTGTGCACTTGTAGTCCTACTACTCAGGAAGCTGAGGTGGGAAGACTGCTTGAGTCCAGGAGTTTGAAGTTACAGTGAGCTATGATCATACCACTGCACTCCAGCCTGGGCAACAGAGCAAGACATGTCTCAAAAAACAAAAACAAATACTAGGAGAGTTCAAGTCCCCAGTCATTGCCATGGGATGATTCTAACACAAATAATGATCCTGGTACTCAAGGCCCTCCATGACCAGGCCCCGTTTTACCATCTAGAGTCGTTACGCCCTTACCCAAACCCTCCACCCTGCCAGGCAGGTCTATAAGGTTACAGATTATCTTGAGGATTAGACAAGATGATCTCAGGGGAGAGGCTCTGGATTATCTACAAATTACAACAGTAAAAGCAACAATACTGACAGTCTTTAGATATTTATTATGCCAGGACATAAGTGACAGAGAAAAGACTAGAAGGCATTGTATTGGGCAGTTTTATTTTTTTTAGTAAAATTTTTCAAAAATATGGAACTCGACGAATTTGCATGCCATCTTCGCAAAGGAGCCATGTTAATCTCTGTATTGTTCCAATTTTAGTACATGTGCTGCTGAAGCAAGCACTGGGCAGTTTTAAAGATGAGGAAATGAGTCTCAGGATCTAGGAGACTTAACATGATTTAGTCATATAGTAAGTAGTAAGTTGTCTACCTTGTCCCTATATTATTCTCTTTTTTTTTCGAGATGGAGTCTCTCTCTGTTGCCCAGGTTGGAGTGCAGTGGTGTGATCTTGGCTCCCTGCAACCGCCAGCTCCCGGGTTCATGTGATTCTTGTGCCTCAGCCTCCTGAGTAGCTGCGATTACAGGCATGAGCCACTGGACCCAGCCAACCTATATTATTCTCTATAGCTTTTAAATCGACAATCATTGAGTGAATGAATAAAAGCTAGCCCATTCTCAGTGAATCAAAAAAGCCATGCGCTTTTCCTCATGAAAATCAACTTTTTTTTTTTTTTTTTGAGACAGAGTTTTGCTTTTGTTGCCCAGGCTGGAGTGTAATGGCACAACCTTGGCTCACTGTAACCTCCACCTCCCGGGTTCAAGCGATTCTCCCGCCTCAGCCTCCCAAGTAGCTGGGATTACAGGCACCCAACACAACGTCCAGCTAACATTTTGTATTTTTAGTAGAGATGAGGGTTCACCATGTTGGCCAGGCTGGTCTTGAACTCCTGACCTCAGGTGGTCCACCCGCCTGGGCCTCCAAAGTGCTGGGATTACAGGAGTGAGCCACCATGAGGTCAAAAAGCAACTTCTTAATATAATCAAATAGTTCTAATTTCAAAACTAATCACTAAAAAATTTTTTTCTGAGGATGTGAGAGCTTTACAAACGTTAAAGGACCAAAACTCCTCTGTAAACAACAAGCACCAAGAAAAGTCTTCTACTAGGAGGGATGAGAGGGAGAGGCAGAAAGGAAACACTGGTGCTAGAGGGAAGGTCTGCTGTTTCAGGAGCCTGACCTTGAGCTTATTTATTATGGCCTCATTCTCCCTCTCCAGAGGATAGTGGCTGATTAATGAGGCAGTGTTGGTAAGCTTGAGTCTTCCTGGGGAGAAAAGCAGAGGGCAAATCAAAACCCAGAGAGGATTCATTGTAACATCCAAGAGGCCCACTCAGTTCTTTCTCAAGAAGGTCTTTCTAGCCGGCCGCGGTAGCTCAAGCCTGTAATCCCAGCACTTTGAGAGGCGGAGGCAGGTGGATCACGAGGTCAAGAGATCGAGACCATCCTGGTCAACATGGTGAAACCCCGTCTCTACTAAAAATAAAAAACATTAGCTGGGCATGGTGGTGCATGCCTGTAGTCCCAGCTACTCAGGAGGCTGAGACAGGAGAATTGCCTGAACCCAGGAGGCGGAGGTTGCAGTGAGCCGAGATTGCTCCATTGCACTCCAGCCTGGGTAACAAGAGCGAACCTCTGTCTCAAAAAAAAAAAAAAGGTCTTTCTACAAAACAGCTATGAACCTCTCCACCCTGTTTCACTGTCACAGAGGAGTAAAACAGCTCTATCCCTACGGGCAACATATCAACATATCTAGCACAACATTTGCTCACAAACACAGAACTAATTAAGAAATGCAAAGGAACCTGAAACGGAGGGGAAATATTCTGACTGGAGACAGCCTCCATAGTGGTAGAAAACATACTAGATCTGGTGTTGAAAGCCCCTGGAGTGGGGGTGGGTCACTTACTAGCTATGTGGCTTAATGCAAGTCACAGAGGCAAATTACTGGGACCGAAGCTAGGGTCAGATCAGATCTAAAGTACCTTTTTAGGGCCAGGCATGGTTGCTTGTGCTTGCAATCCCAGCACTTTTGGAGGCCAAAATGGGAGGATCACTTGAGCCAAGGAATTTGAGACCAGTGTGGGCAACATAGTGAAACCCTGTCTCTACAAAAAAAATTGCATATATATGGGCATGGTAGTGTGTGTCTTGTAGTCTTGGAAACTTGGGAGGCTGAGGTGGGAAGATCACTTGAGCCCAGGAGTTTGATGTTACAGTGAGCTATGATCATGCCACTGCATTCCAGCCTGGGCAATAGAGTGAGACCTCGTCTCCAAAAAAAAAAAATAAACAAAGTACCTTTCCACCTCCAAAATTTGCAACGATTCTTTCCACAGGATACCCATTCTCAACAAAAAATCTTGCAATAGAACTTGTCAAATAGAATCTGGTCAAAACATTACTAGTTAGGGTGTTCTTTCCAAAAAATAGTAAATCTCCTAGAAATAGGCACATTGTGTTTTACCCTATTAGGACCCATCCCCAAAGTGAGACACATGTGGGTGCTTCATTAATATTCTGTTGAAAGGTCTTTGGAAACTGGTAGTACCAACTTAGCATGGCAAACAATGCAAGGTGATTGGAGCTACGCTCAAGGAACTACAAGGCAGCTTTTCAAAAATAAAAGCCACAAAATGCAATTTATAACTACCTCTGTCTAAACAGCCTGAAGCAAAGTAGCTTTCTATACCTAGGTCCTCACCCCTTCTCCTCTCCACCTCTCTACTTTATCGTCCCTGTCCTACCCAGCACTGAGACCCTTGTCTTTCTGGTTCCAGGTTCACTTTTCCTTTTTCCACACCAGAAGGCTTTTAGTCATTGATAGAAATGAACAAACATGAATATGAGTTCTAAAGAGGAAGCTAGATTGCCTCAGGAATCAAACTTGTCAATATGTTACTAGTAAGTGAAATAAGTGGGAATGGTGTCTAACACATGGGTATGATAAAATAAAACCCTAAAATACATATTGTGCTAGGGATCTGAACAGACTTCAGGATTTTTTAAAGAAGGCTGTGTCTCACATCTCAATTAATCTTCTCAAAAGAATCCTAAGAGGCAAGGTTTATTCCAGTTTTATAGATTAGGAACCTAAGGCTCAGCAAGAAGAAAATACCTGCCTCAAGGTCGATTGGTAAGGTTGCAGAGTCAGACTTCAAAGAGACATTTTCTAAATCCAGTGCTCCCTCCAGCACATCTCAACTACATTCTCTATCTTTCTCATCAGTATAGGCCTTTATGTATACAAAACATTTCTGCATTCACTGTTCATACTGTTCCTGCCACAGCTCATGAAAAGGGCAATCCAAGTGTCTAAATATTAGTTACCAGATCTATCTCACCCTTTTTTATTTTTATTTTTTTTGAGACAGGGTCTCACTCTGTCACCCAGGCTGGAATGCACTGGCACAATCATAGCTCACTGCAACCTCAAACTCCTGGGCTAAGGTGATCCTCCTACCTCAGCCTTACAAGTAGCTTGTACAACAGGCATGCGCCACTACACCTCATTATTTTTAATTTTTAGTAGAAACGAAGTACTTGCTATGTTGCCTAGGCTGGTCTCAAACTCCTGGACTCACGTGATCCACCTATATTGAACTCCCAGAGTGCTGGGATTTACAGGTGTGAGCCACTGTGCCAGCTTATCCCCACTTTTAAAAATGCTAATAAATAACTTGATCACCATTAGATAAAATAAATTCTATGTACCTGGCATCACTGAGAAGTGCAAAATTTCACACAAGCAATTTTCCTACTAACTGAAGTTTATCCCTTTTAAGGAAAAGCTCTTTCTTTATATCAAAACACATTCTCCAAAATACAGATGATATATTACTCTTTACTTATAATTAATAAAATCTGATCAGGGATATTAGACCATAAACATGATATAAACATGCTACAAACTGTGCTAGGAATTCAAAGATGAATGTTTTTTGTTTTGTTTTGTTTTTGTTTTTTGAGACAGGGTCTGACTCTGTTGCCCAGGCTGGAGTGCAGTGGTGCAATCTCAGCTCACTGCAACCTCCGCCTCCCAGGTTCAAGTGATCTTCTCCGCCTGAGCCTCCCAAGTAGCTGGGACTACAAGGCATGCACCACCATGCCTGGCTAGTTTTGCATTTTTTGTAGAGACGGAGTTTTGACATGTTGCCCAAGCTGGTCTTGAGCTCAAGCGATTGGCCCACCTTGGCCTCCCAAAGTGCTGGGATTACAGGCCCAGCACTTGATCTGGCCCAAAGATAAATCTTTAAACTTGAGTTTATAATCTTGTAGAGGAAGAGACACATCTATAACCATAATATGAAGCCAAAGAACATGGGTATGCTTGGGGTATGCTGAAAGGAAAGTGAGATAATACAAGCAAGGCTAGTGGGGACCAACAACACAGGGTGACTTACTGAAGAGCAGTGGGAGGTGCTGAAGAGTCCCGGGCAGAAGAATGGTATACTACTTGTGCTTTTTGAAAAGATGACTGGCACAACAGTGAGGCCAGATGCAGAAAATTGACTTAGGCAGCAGCTGTAGAGATGGAGAGAAAACTGCACTGCCAACACAGGGGCAGCAGGGACCAAAACAGGTGGATTTTTCCAGCTGTGGCACGAAAGGTGGGGAGCTAAAGAGACCACTGAGATTCTTTGGTGAAAAGACTTCAGAATGGGAAAATAAAAGAAGGTACCAGTTTAGAGGGGCAGTGAGGGACTAACTCAGGATGGGATGATGGGGAAAGCTTTACAGAGGAAGTGAGGTTTAAGCTAGATACTTAAATATGAGTAGGCTAAGTAGAGTTTCACCAAAAAGTAAAAAAGGATCATTCTAGGCAGAGAAAACAGTACATGCAAAGACAGAGCATATTACAGTTGAGCAATGGCACACAGTTTTAGGACAGTGCATCAGATGGTAAGAAGCATAAGTAATATTAAACTGTGAGGCACTTGCCTCATGCTAAGAAACTGTAGATGACGAGAAGACAGTAAGGTTTCTAAAGGGAGAAGGTAAAGCAGCATGATCAGGGCTATGTTTCAGAAGGGAAACTGCATGAAGTACAGACTGGAATGGTAAGACACAAGAGGAAGGCAATAGAGCATAATGGCTAAGATTATAAGGTCTGAACTTAAGACAACCTAATACAAATTGTGGGTATACAGCTAATAGCTCTGCAACCTTGGGCAAATTATTTACTCTCTCTGTGCCCTCATTTTCCCCATCTGTAAAATGGGAATAACAGTAGTACTTTATCAGGCACATGCCACCGTCCCTGGCTAATTTTTTTTATTTTTGT